TTGACTGCTGCTTCCATGGACGTTGATTGTGGATCCAAGTAAAATGAAATCCTTGACAACTTCAGTCTTTTCTCTGTTTATCATGATGTTGCTTATTGGTCCAGTTGTGAGGATTTTTGTTTTCTTTATGTTGAGGTATAATCCATACTGAAGGCTGTAATCTTTGATCTTCAACAGTAAATGCTTGAAGTCCTCTTCGCTTTCAGCAGGCAAGGTTGTGTCATCTGCATATTGCAGGTTGTTAATGAGTCTTCCACCAATCCTGATGCTGTGTTGTTCTTCATATAGTCCAGCCTCTCAGAGTATTTGCTCAACATACAGATTGAGTAAGTATGGTGAAAGGAAACAACCCTGATGCACACCTTTCCTGACTTTAAACCACCCAGTATCCTCTTGTGCTTTTTGAATTACTGTCTCTTGGTCTATGTACAGTTTTCTCATGAGCACAATTTTGTGGGGGTGAGACCATGCAAATAAGGTGTATGAAGCCTCAACAAAGGGATCGGTCAGTTTTGCCATCCTGCTAGGCTTAAAGGGAGACAGAGGGAGAGAGAGGAGCAGTAATGGAAGGCAGAGGCAGCAGAACCAGGACAGAGAGGGAGAGCTGTAACACTGAAGACAGCGAGAGGTGATGAGATGCAGCGGCAGAGAAACGGCAGGAACAGAGGCAGCAGAAGCAGGAGACCAGCAGGGGACTGCGTGGTGGGCTTCCCGGCCCACAAAGGGAGAAAGCTGAGCACATTCGGGCATGAGGCTTACTGGTGGAGTGGGATGCCTTTGAGCACTTATCAGCAGAACTAAAAGAGCTTTGTAAAACACTTGCCCAAACAGGACAGAGGCTGGGCCATGGGGGCCAAGAGGCCAGAGAGAGCTGTGCCTTTGGGCACAGCAGAGAAGAGTCTGTCCTGATCGAAGAACTGTATTCTGAGCATCCCTGAACGTGAATTGTAACCTGTTATTTCTCTAATAAACCCCATAATCATGAGTATTGTCTGTGAGTTCTGTATGGCCATTGCAACAAATTATGGAACCCAGCAGACAAGTAGAGAGTGCCTTGGGAAGGATGGTTGGTGTCAGAATTGGTGAAAAGGTTGGAGGGTGGAGGCATGCCTGACCTCCACCTTATAGGAATCAGCCTTGGGCTGTTGATCTTAATTCTCATTCCCCCTTATGAATTTAGAGGAGGTCAGATACCTCTTCTTCCTTGCAGTTTTACAGTTGAAGTCAGAAGCGGGATTTGTTGCAATGGCTCCAGAGTCATGGAAGCATGGGACTTACAGAGACAAGAACTAAGGGGCCTGGAAAGTGAAACTTTTAATTCTTAGATAGTTACATTGGTTGTTGTTACCTGTAATGGCTGAAAGGAAAGGAAGAGATGTTATGTTGCAGCTGAGGGGAGAAAAGCAGCATCTGGAGTGACTTGGGCCAAAAGCCAGGTTGATTAAACAAGATGATGAGAGGGGGTCAGGGTGTACTGGTTCCACCCAGCCAGAGGCTCAGGGCTATATGCATATGAGTAGGAAGATAGTCAAGGAGTGGAGAAGATGAAACTGAAGTATTTTTAAATAGGGTTATGTGTTTATTTGAATATACAATGGATATTGAATGTTTCTCCTACCTAGTGTTGTAAAACAGACCTAAATCTATGATAGACATGAGCATTGAGTATTATAGATTACAGAAATCACGTAGCTGTGCCTTCAGCCAATACTTGACTGGATATACTAAAAGAGGAACTAGGGTTTGCCTGAAAGAAACACAGGCTGTTCATTTCAGCGCAGTAGCCCTGTGTATACCTAAGCCCTTCCCTAACGCTTAGGAGTCAGGAAATTTCTATTTGAAAAGACATGCAGACCCACCCAGAACTGCTGAGAGCAGGAGATTTGCAGGAAAAAAAAAATGACTGTTTTTGCTTTTTGAATTTCAAGCAAGTGGTTTGCCTTTGAGTGCACTGAGGCAGGAAAAGTCAATGCCCATCAGAAGAACCCCCTTCCAGGAGTGGAAGTTAAAGAGAGCTGGTGAGTAGACAGCCTGGTATACGCCCTTGTGACCAGCTGGGTCAACTCAATGAGTGGAAGTGAGGGAGGTGCAGCAATGAAGAGACGGGCTGAATTTGGACATGTTCCTTTGGTACCCACTGACCTAGCCCACAGGGAGCAGGGATGAGAGTGAGGGAGGAAGGGCTGGCTGGTCTGAAGTGCCGGGATGTATGTGAACTCTTGAGCCTACGGCTGGTTCCCACTGACCTAGTCCATAGGGGCTAGGGATGACCTGTCCAGAACCTGACTGAATGAAGAGAAAAATTCTTGACACCGTGAGCAGGTGTAGATTGCTGCAATTTGATGGCTTGCTCTGGACTGGACTTTGCTTATGAATGCAGATGCTCAGAGTTCCAACCAGAACAGAAGATTCGTGAAATCAAGGAACATGCTTGTCTTCTCAGAGTACTGGTTTGATAGGAACGGGCAGTTTAAACGTGGGCTATTTAAAATGGGAGGAGATAAAGGCATGAAGTGGCTGGCTTACACATTTTCATGGGTGCGCTTATACTCAAAATGAGGGGGACAAGGGAGGATCCCCACTGAATGGTTTCCTCTTTTCCTGATGGGTCTGGGGAAGAGAGGGTGAGGGAAGATGCTGATACGATTGATTATATGATTCAGTTGTGTTGATGGTTAACAGGGTTAATTGTGATTGTAAAAACTGTAATTGTAGAAGCTGTAACTGTAAGAGTAGACTGGGGGGAGGAACTGCTGGACTGGAGTACAGAGGACAAACCTAAAGTCTCTGAAAGGTTTTGCTATGCTGATACCTTGTGGGGCTCAGAGCAGGGGAATAATCTCTCAGTTAAATTTTATCAGAGGCCAGGAAGGGTGAAGGTGAGACAAACTATTGGAGAACATGACCAGATCAGACAGACAGCTGCAGCAGACCTGAATGGCTGGGACCTGAGTAACCTCACCCTTGGGACTCTTTGCCCTATTAAAGGACTAATTGTTAATGACTCTTTTGGACTGGTAAAATGATTGGGAGGGGGAAGTTAATCCTTCAACTATGAAAGGGCCAATTGTTAGAAGAGTCAGGGGGTGCAGTGAATTACTTAATATGGCCCTTCTAGCCATAGTCTTTGTAACTCCTACCAAATGATTGGATGGGACTATGCAAATGCGGGCTTGTGGCCCAACAAGGGGATTGGATAGCTTGATAGTAGTGTAAATAAGGTGCATGGTACCCCTGTGGGGTGGGGCCCTGCAAATAAGTGAAACCCTAACGAGGGTATTGGTTAGTTTTGCCATCCTGCCAGGCTTAAAGGGAGACTGGGGGGTGGGGGTAGAGGGGAGAGGAACAGCAACACAGAAGACAGAGAGAGACGGCAGAACCAGGACAGAGAGGGAGAGCGGTAACATCATAGTCAGCAAGAGCTAGTGAGAAGCAGTGGCAGAGAAACGGTGGCAGCGGAACCAGGTGACCAGCAGGAAATGGTGTGGTGGGCTTCCCTGCCTACGGAGCTTTGGGCACGAGGCTTGCTGGCAGAGTAGGGTGCCTTTGGGCACTTATCAGCAGAGATAAAAGAGCTTTGCCCAAGGAGGACAGAGGCCAGGCCGAGGGGCCAAGAGGCCAGAGAGTGGTGTGCCTGTGGGCACCACTGAGAAGAGGCTGTCCTGATAGAAGAACTGTATCCTAAGCGTTCCTTAACCTGAATTGTAACCTGTTACTTCTTTAATAAACCCCATAATCGTATTGTCTGTGAGTTCCATGTGGCCATTGCAACAAATAATTAAACCCAGCAGAGAAGTGGAGGGTGCCGTGGGTGTCAGAATTGGTGAAAAGGTTGGAGGTTGGAGGCATGCCTGACCTCCGCCTCATAGGAATCAGCCTTGGACTGATTCTTGATTCTCCTTCCCCCTGTGAAGTTAGAGGAGGTCAGGCGCCTCCCCCACCACACTGTTTTTACAGGGGTCAAACATGGCTCAGGCGTTCATAAAGTGAGTTAAGAAGGATTTAGTTATTCTGGGGGAATAATTAAAAGGTGCTGCTTGGCAGGGTTGTCTAGGCCAGTGTTTTTCAAACTACTGTATGAACAAATATCTTGGGAATCTTCTTAAAATGCAGATTGTGTCGATAGGTCTGAGGTGAGACCTGAAATTCTGCATTTCTAACAAGCTCTCAGGTGACGCCCAGGCTTCTGGTTCTAGGACCATTCTAGCTAAATGCTTAGAAAAGGAGCCTTGTCCATATGACTCAGATATGGGGAAAAGGAAGGCAGTTGGCCTGCCCCTCAGCGTCCTGACTATATATCATGTGAAGCCCCCCAAGATTCCTAGACTCCAGTGAAGACATTTCTTGCATTCTGAATGATGGAATAAATGTGTGCTGATTAACACTTTCTTGATGAAGGAGGGGGTGCTGAAGAGAACTGAGGGCAAAGTTGAGTGTGTAAGGCTGCAGCTTACAGGGAAGAGGCACCTTTAAGTCCTGATATGGTGGCAGTGGAAGTGGCCATTGGGAAAATGAAAGTTGTATAATATTGGTTGGGCCACTGGCCTGTTCTGTTCTCTCTCTCTTTCTGTCTCTCACATACCCACTTAGAGTGTAAATTTGAGTGTGTGGTACTTTTCCCTGATATGTTGGACTATCTCTTCTCTCCATTGGGGCACCTCTTCTGATCCTCTGCAATATACAGTTCAGGATCTATGTTTGCTTTGACTACAAGTAATGTTAGTTCACCCTAACAAAATAATAGGAGTGGTTTCTGTAATGTGTTGTCTCCAAATAGAAGAGCAGATAGGGAAGTATTTTGCTGAAATACTAAAATTCCCAGTTCTAACAGTTTTTACCGTTATTAACCTGTCTCTTATATCTTTGGTTAATAAATATCTGGCCTTTTCTTGAAGATGGGCATCATTTCCTCATGGTTTAACTACAAGTGATCCTGATTAATGATTTCCATGCTGTTTCCCTTATCACAGTAATTTCCTCTCTCTCTGCTTTTATCACAGAGGAATTCCTGCTTGGGTGACTGAACTCTGATCTTGACATAGAGTCATGGCCATGGTAAGTTGTGAAGCTCCTCGCCCTACTTGGTGCCAGCTCCAGACAGGTACAGGATGTGTACCCAGGGATTATGGGTTTGAACAAAGGCTTGTTTGCTCAGCAAGGGGAGAGGGAGGACATGAAAAGGCAGTTTCCTCCTTTTTTTTGAATATCATTTTATATTCTTTCAGGGGTGGTGAGTAACTTTATCTTGAAACTTAATTCAGAGAGAGAACCCTTTAAATCCTTCTAACATCCTGAGTGTTAAAACCAAATTATAGTTTTCTTTCTGCAGAAGCACTACATGTTCATTGTGGAAAATTTAGGTAAATTAAAAAGAAAACACTAAAACTCCCACAGATTGTACCACCAGGACATGACCACTGTGGACATTTTGGTGTAGCTTTATCTTTTCAGCCTCATTAAGAAGGATGTTTCTTAGAGATGATAAGGGTTTGTCATCTGCCTCCTGCTCCTGCTGGCTGTAATCTGACTCCTTGGAGCTTGGTTATCTGATCTTTGGGACAGGCAGGGAATCTCATCCCTTTGAGATTACTGTAAAATTCAGTGCTGAGGTAGAAACTGAGCTTCTTACCTGCAAATATGGCTCTGCCTGAGGCCAGCCATCTGCTTTCCTTCTCTCACCCAAGTGAGGTTTCAGACGAGACAGATGATTCTGATCCCTGGTGTTCTGGGAAGGAATCATAGAAGCAGAATCTCATACCTGGAGAGGAACTGGAAATCCTATCAGCTCTAGCCACCTTCCTTTAGGAAGATGGTTGTGTGAAGTAAACTATCTTGGGCAAATAGTTATATTCTCTTTAAAAAAAATTTAAATTAGACATTCTACAATTCTCTTCATCAACGCTGGCAAAGATTTACTCATGTCTGCCTGAAGTCTCTATCATGCTTTCATTTCAAATCCATTCCTTCTTGATTGAGTCTCCCTGGGGACATGGAGAACATTTATTCAGAAATGCATATGGCCCCTATTTTGTGCCAGACATAGGCTCTGGTACTCAAAGATTAATGGGACACCTTTCCTGTTTTCAAGAAGCTCAAAGTCTTCCTACATATGTAGACTGTAACCAGGTTACCTGTAGGTATGCTTTCTTCTTTAGGAAGATTACCTCGATTGCTCTCATCTTTCCTCTTAGAACCTGTTTTTCCATCATGACTGTTATTTATTGGACAGATAAAGGACATTTTTAAAAGGAAGTGAAGACCATGCAATACAGTCACCATATTGTAATTCCCAACTATTTTGTATCATTTTATGTTAGACGCTACTCATATGTATAATTATTTCCAAATAGTAGTAGTAAGAGCATAAAAATTCTGTCTTCTGCTTTTTCACTTAGTATAGGAAAATGTTTAAAATAGAATGATGAATGAAAGATGCAGGATACAAAAGTATGTATTTACACTAATCTTAGTTATGCTAACATGTTCATGTTAAATTTTATATCATTACAATTATTTACTCTAGGTGATGGATTTATGGATGTTTTTATTTTCTTAATTTTTTTCTTGTATTTTCCAAATTCTCTACAATGAGCATATGATAATTTCTAAAAGAAAAACATGGGTTAAAAGCCACTGTAACCAAAGATGAAAATGTTTTTCTTTATGGAGGTATAATTTACACGAATGAAATGCACACTTCTTAAGTTGACCGTTAGAGGAGTTTTGACAAATGCATATACCTGTGTAACCTACTGTCCTATCAAGATAACATTTCATCACTCCAGAAAGTTCACTTACACCCTTTCCTGATCAGTCCCCACCCTGCTCCCCTTTCCACCTCTGAAATGCAGCAGCCGATGTCCTGATTGTTACCACCACAGGTTAGTTTTGCCTGTTCTAGAACATACTATAAATGGAATCAGACACATGTACTTTTTTTGTATTTGGCTTCTTTTGCTAAGCATTATATTTTTAAAAATTCATCCATGTTGCTGTATGTATCAGTGGTTTCTTTCTTTGTCTCTCTTTATTGCTGATTAAAACCACCACGGTTTCTTTATTGCTGATTAGTATTCCATTATATTGTATCCCAATATTTTTTATGTTTATCATCTTCATTATTATTTTAATGACTGGATAATATTTCATTAATTGTGATGCAGCACCTCTTTCCCCCTATTATTTTTTGTCATTCTTCCCTACATCCTTCTGTCCCTGTGCCTGCTCTCACAGACGCTGCCCTGGAATGGAATCCCCTGCCTTCCCAGACAGTTAATGGCACATCGTGCCCTGAAATTCAATCAATACAGATACTTTATGGCTAAAAGGGAACATATTTTTTTGAGCTTATCTTTTTCCAGGAACAAGAGTCACTAAGAATGCTAATTGATAAACTGAACCACCCCTGCGAAGCTCTTTATTGATTTTTCTTGTTTGATATTAATTTTAATCCCATACTAGTGTCCCTCAGCAATGCAGTTTGCTTTTAAAGTCACATTCAGTGTTTGGGCACCATCCAAAAAAAATTTCAGTACTTAGTTGCAAAAGACCCTTGTGAAGCTGATTGTCTCAGAAAGCTGTCTTATGGTGGTAGTGCCAAGGCCTGAGTTAAGCAATGTTGGAATTTTGACAGCAAATCACCAATTTGAGGGAACTAATAGATAGTAAAAGAAAAGAAGTAAAGGACCAAAGAAAATTGATGTCATAGATTTTTATTTTCTATACACTGTCTTGTGTATCGAGGAGCTGTATGCTGACTGAGTGCTAGACGCTGACCATATCCAGAACAGGAAAGCTTTGTCTTTCATCAGGCGAGGCCCACAACTCTTGTGCCTGAGGCCTTTGATAGGGCTTAATGTGGGCCACAGTGGGCCTAAAAGGTCCAAGGCAAGCTGGACTGGCTCACAGAGCTCAAATCTGGCTGATAGAGAAAGGCCCTGAAGGTATAAAAATTCTCCATTCCTTTAAGTGGCCCAGATTACATTCTTGGATCAAATTAAATCCCCAGAGAGCTTTAAATCTGTATTACATTGTTTTTGCCACCTTGTACAAGTAGCCTATTCTAGATTTTGCTCTGGCATTACCCCATAGGCTTGCATTGAGGGCCATTATAAGAAATAGACATTAGAATCTCGCTATTTTATTTATTATGTAGATGTTATTGAAGTCATATTTAAGAATAATGATAGCCACCAAGTTTGAGTGTTTACTATTTACTGGGTTCTGTGCTAAGTGAAATATATAATAAAACCAAAAACCAAACCAGTTGCTGTCTAATCGATTCCGACTCATAGTGACCCTATAGGACAGAGTAGAACTGTCCCATAGGGTTTCCAAGGAGCGCCTGGTGGATTTGAACTGCCAACCTCTTGATTAGCAGCCGAGCTCTTAACCACTGTGCCACTAGGGCTCTGAAATGTATATGATAAGTATATATATATGTATACATAATATATATGCATACATCCCAAAACCAAACCAATTGCTGTTGAGTCAATTCTGACTCATGGAGACCAATGTGTTTGAGTAGAGCTGCACTCCATAAGATTTTCAATGACTGTGATCTTTTGGAAGTAGAGTGCCAGGACTTTCTTCCAAGACACCTCTGGGTGGTTTAGAACCACCAACCTTTCAGTTGGTACCAAAAAAAAAAAAAACCTATTGCCATCGAGTCGATTCCAACTCATAGTGACCCTACGGGACAGAGTAGAACTGCCCCATAGGGTTTCCAAGGAGCGGCTGGTGAATTCAAACTGCCGACCTTTTGGTTAGACCTTTTGGTTAGCAGCCACAGCCTTAGCTCTTAACCACTGAGCCAGCAAGGCTCCTTTCAGTTGGTAATTGAGGACTTAACCATTTGCACCACCCAGGGGCTAATTATGTGTCTGTCTGTCTCTGTCTCGCTCTCTCTGCTTCATTATCACAATAATCCTGTGGGTTAATATTATTATTCCCAGTAATACAAAACAGCAAGAAAAATGAAACTTGCCCCAGGCCACTCAGCTAGAAAAGGTGAAGTCAAGATCACACCGAGGTCTATCCCACTCCAATGCCTGTTTTCCTTCCTGTGAAACTGTGTCACCTCTCACTGTAGCCCACCGTATCTCCTTCATGAAGACCCACCTCTCTGATTGCCTTTTCCTTTTTAATTTTTATTATGTCTACATACCGAAGTCGAATATTATAAGGAATTTCATTGTACCTATCAATAATTATTAACTCGTGATCAGTCTTGTTTCTTTTTTTATCTCCCCTTACTTTCCTCCTCCTGTGTTGTTTTGAAGCAAATTCCAGACATTTTATCATTTCATTTGTAAGCTATTTCAGTATTAAAGATAAAGACTCTTAAATAAAACAAGGATGTGGAGAAATTGGAATCCTGATATACTGCTGAAGGTAAAATGATACAGCTGCTATGAAAACAGTTCGGTGGTTCCTCAGAAAGTTAAACATAGAATCACCGTATGACCCAGCAATTCTGCTCTGAGGTATATACCCAAAAGAATTGAAAACAAGCATTCAAACAGACATTTATATATGAATGCTTACAGTAGCACTATTCACAGTAGCCAAAAGGTGGAAACAATCCAAATGTCCATCAACAGATGAGTGGATAAACAAATGTGATATATCCTTACAATGGAATATTATTCAGCCGTAAAAAGGAATGAAGTAGTTGTACATGCTGCAACATGGATGAACCGTGAAAACATTATGCTAAGTGATTCCATTTTATACGAAACATCCAGGATAGGCAAATTCATGAAGACAGAAAGCAGATTAGTGGTTGCCAGGGGCTGAGGGTAGGGGGACGGGGAGTGACTCCTGATGGGTACAGAGCTTTGTTTTGGGGTGATGGAAATGCCTTGGAACCGGATAGATGTGATAGTTGTGCAACGTTGTGAATGTACCAAGTATCAATGAATTGTAACACATTAACATCTTAAAATGGTTAATGGTTAATTTTATGTTACCTGAATTTTACCTCAGTTAAACAATATGTAATACCATTATCACACCTACAAAAATTAATAATAATTCCTTAATGTCATCAAATATCAAGTCAGTGTTCCAATTTACAGTTATCTGATAAATGTCATTTCCCTTTTTTTTTTTTTTAACTGTTTATTTGATTCAGGATCCAAATAAGGTTCATACATTGTGATTATTGATATGCCTTTTAAATCTGTTTGAAGCTACAGTTTCCCTCCTTCTCTCTCTTTCTAGTTGAAGTCCAGTGGTATTTCTCGCAGTCTGGATTTTCTGATTGCAATCCTGGCACGGGGTTTAACCTTTTCCTTTCCCCTCTATTTCCTGTTAATTGCTGTTTGGCTCTAGAGGCTTGATCAAATTCAGGTTTGAGTTTTTCCTTTTATTTTTGGGGACAAGATTATTTCATAGGTGGTGCTGTAACTTCTCTTACCACTCGCCTCCTTGCCCACCATGCTTGAGCCCACTGACCTTCGGTCCCTCTCCTCCTACAGAAGCTTGTTCCAGCCGCAGGGCCTTTGCAACAGCTGTTTCCTCTGCCCTCTGATGTTTGCATGGTCAACTCCTTCACGTTATTCAGATCTCTGCCTAAATGTCACTCCTCAGAGCACCCCCTCCAGGACCTCCATCTGCCTCACCGCACTTCTCACCACCAGACACTCTCTAGAATATTAATTTGTTGGCTTGTTTACTATCTGCTTTCCCCTGAATAGAACATCAGCTCCATGGGAGCAGGAGCCTCATCTCTCAGGTTCCCTAGAACAGTGTCTGGCGCTCAGCACATGTTTGCTGAACAGTGAATTGTGCCTCGTGTGGTAAGGTGCTGTCTCTCAGTCATGTCACTCTCTGTGTGCTCAGGCAAGCAAAGGTGGCACCATCAAAGCTGCATCAGGATTCAATGCCGCTGAAGATGCCGCGAGCCTGAGGAAGGCCATGAAAGGGCTGGGTAGGTGTCCCACTGGAGGTGACTCCTCCCTTGTGTGTATGTTATACAGCAAAGATTCACAGAGGTTCGTAATTTACCACGGGAGGGGTAAAGTGGAGGGCAGATGGTCCAGGAGCTCACTGATTTAAGACGTACCCTGTCCACTGGCAATCGTGAGTTGGTCTTACTTTAAGAAAACACAATGTAATACAAATTGGATGGGAGGGCATTCATTGTACACTTTGCCACAGAAATTTGTACTTAATGCACTCATTCTGAGTTTCCCCAATTATTTTAAGTGATAAAATTATGAATCTACATATAACACTTTAGAAATGTGTTTTCGAGTTAGTGTTAGTATGTTTACAAAGTCCTTTCACCAACATTATCTCATTGGAGATAGACAATAGCCCTGTGAAGTAGTGAAAGCAGCTGTTACTATTGTTATCTTAGCCCCATTTTACAGATGTGGAAACTGAGACCCAGAGAAGTTAAGTGACTTTCACAATGGCTCATAAAATGGAACCGAGCTCATATGCAGCAGAGCCAGTCTCAGACTCAGGCCTGCCAGCTCTGAGTCCACCTTCTCTCCGTTGTGTTCCTCCGCCTGCTGCTGCTGTGATAGTACCAACATACAGTATGTGCGGCTTTATGTGCGAAGACTGTGTATACATGACCAGAAGGGCTTCTCTTCCAAGGCAGTGCCCTCCAGTTAGCTCCCCTGGGGACCAAGGCCTCATGCTGGATGGGCACAGTAATGTGGGGTGTTCTGTAGGCTGCCCAGGCCTAGTCCCTGCCTCTAGGACCTTGCCTGAGTGGACTTTTGGCCAGAGAGGTGCCCTTAGTTTGTTGCTGTTATTTAGAATCTCCCTGAGATTTGGGCAGAAACACTTGACTGTGATTAATTGTTTAATGAGAAGCTAGTTTGCTCTGTAAACCTTCATCTGAAGTACAATAAAAAAAAAAAATTTCATAAATAAAAAAACAGTTAACTATGAGACCTTATTCTCCAATCTTCCTATCCAAAAAGAGTTCATTTACTTTGTCCTAGTGCTACTAAGGAACCCTGGTAGTGCGGTGGTTCAGTGTTCGGCTGCTAACCAAAAGGTCAGCAGTTCGAATCTACTAACTGCTCCTTGGAAACCCTATGGGCAGTTCTCCTCTGTCCTGTAGGGTCACAGTGAGTCAGAATTGATTCGATGGCAGTGGGTTTGATTTTTTGGAGTGCTACGAACAACGATAACAATAACCAAAAATCCCACTACCATCGAGTCGATTCTGACTCATAGCAATCCTCCAGAACTGCCCCCTAGGGTTTCCAAGGTTGTAAATCTTTACGGAAGCGGATTGCCGCATCTTTCTCCTGCAGAGTGACTGGTGAGTTCAAACCACCAACCTTTCGGTTAGCAGCCTAGTGCTTTAACCACTGTTCCACCAGGGCCCCTTATAACAATAAAAGCACCATTTATTAAGCTCTACTATGTGTCAGGCACAGTGCTAGATACATGGATTATCTCTTTGCAGCCTGGTAACAGGCTGTTTTTACTATGAGAAAGCTAAGATTTAGGGAGGATAGAGAACTTGTCCAAGGTCTCAGATCTAGGAAGTGTTAGAGTCAGGACTCCATTCCAGGCAGTCTGGCTCCAGCGCTGGAGCCGAGGCCACCATGCTATCCTTCTGTCCACTTCTGAGCAGAACGTTGTCCTGATCTGTGTATCCTTCTCCTCATTTTCATTCTCATCAATAAAATGGAAAATGTACTGAGCCCATGATTTTTTCAGGTTTATCCTCGTTTGTTGGGATATAGCAAGCACGCCATAGTTCAGAAAGTAGACCACGTGGTGTTCTAACTCTCCAAATAAGAGCTTGTGTTTGGGTCATTCCAGTGACTGCAGAGGAACCCACTTTCTTTTTCCTCTCTCAGTCACACTCACTGTCTCTGCTTTGCTCCGCCAGGCACTGATGAGGATGGCATTATTAATATCCTGGCCTATCGCAACACCGCCCAGCGCCAGGAAATCAGGACGGCCTACAAGTCCACCATCGGCAGGGTAGGCCGCAGTCTCTCCTGCACTGTTTGGTTGACAAGGGACTCGTCAGGGCACCTGACCTGGATTCCTGAAGTGGCCCTGTGCTTTTAAAGACAGATCCCTTGCCTTGTTGAAAGAAGTTTTTGAAAAACAGCCTCAACAGGTTGGCGGGTGTCTTAGCCATCTAGTGCTACTGTAACAGAAATACCACAAGTGGGTGGTTTTAACAAAGAGAACTTTATTCTCTCATAGTCTAGTAGACTACAAGTCCAAATTCAGGGCGTCAGCTCCAGGGGAATGCTTTCTCCATCGATTCTGGAGGAAGGTCCGTGTCATCAATCTTCCCTTGGTCTGGGAGCTTCTCTGTGCAGGAACCTCAGGTCCAAAGAATGTGCTCTGCTCCCAGCACTGCTTTCTTGGTGGTATGAGGTTCCCTTGTGTCTCTGCTTGCTTTTCTCTTTTATATCTCACAGAGATTGGCTTAAAACACTATCTAATCTTGTAGACCTCATCACTATAACTGCCGCTAATCCGTTTTATTACATCATAGTGACAGAGTTTACAACACATAAGAAAATCACATCAGATTACAAAATGGTACACTGTCATACAATACTGGGAATCATGGCCCAGCCAAGTTGACAGATACTTTTGGGGGACACAATTCAATCCATAACGGTGTGTTTCCTCCATTATACTCAGCCAGAAGGAATTTGAGGGAGCTTTTTTTCTCACAAACCTGAAGGCCAACCTTGGGCCCTCCTCTTCCAAGTCCTCATAATGATTTCTTTTCGTTTATGGGCTCAACCATCACTATTCTGAGCAGTGCTAGCACGGGCAAGGGCTGAGCTTCTAGCATTGCCTTCTGGACCCTGATGGTTGGGGGTGGAGGGCAATGGCATCTTTTCAGGTTACTGTGGTGGCTTCTTCTTTTTCTTCATCATCATCTTCTTCTGATAGAGTGTATTTTTCAGAGAGGTTTTAGGTTCTCATATGCCCCTCCCCCTACACGTTGCTTCTTCCATTAACATCTCGCATTAGTTCCCCTTGTGATAGATACAGCTGTAACAGTACCCACATGCAGTACATGGGATTCATGAACCGATGTTAATACATTATTATTAGCTAAAGTTCATACTTTGTGTTAGGGTTCACTCTCTGTGTTGTGCAGTTCTTTGGGTTTTGACAAATGCTTCATGTCATGTGTCCGCCATTACAGTAACATAGAGAATAGATTCATTCATTGCCCTAAAAATGCCCCGAGCTCCACTTACTCATCCCTCCCCCACCCCCTGAGCCCCTGGCAACCACTGATCTCTTCACTGTCTCTATAGCTTTGCGCTATGCTTTCTTTTCAGGCCACTCGCCAAACTGACTGAAATGTTTAAATCTAGTTTTAAACTAGCTCTTATACTAACTAGGGTCTATTCCATCTCTTCCACATACACTCATCTGTAGCATGTATTCCTTTGATGATCCTCAACTGAGGTGCACCCCCTGAATTTCTACCCTGGAGTTTAATGTGTTTGGGTATTTGTGTGTATTTAGTAGTTTATTTGTTCAGAGGGTGTTGGCCCGTCATGTTTTCCCCTTTCAGTTTGAATCCCATATTTCTTAGTACACTCTGTAGTCTCCACAGTAAAAGACTTATTTACCAGTGTCACTTTACCCAGTCTTCCCATATCGCTGAAAGCCCATCTGTGAGATTAGCAAGAACCTTTTTTATTGTGGAAATATTATCAATGAGTGTCTCCAGGTCTCAGCATATAGTGACTTGATGGTAAGTATTTCTGTCCTCGAGACACTTCATAGCCGGTCAGACATGAGGCTCTTCTCAAAGATTGGCGTTAAACTGCTGGTGGGGCAGGGCTGGCTCAGCTGTTACCCAAAGCTGTTGTCAGTTGCCATCAAGTCCTCCATGTGGGCAGAGCAGAACTGCTCCATAGGGTTTTCAAGGCTGTGACCTTTCGGAGGCAGATCATGAGGCCTGTCTTCTGAGGTGCCTCTGGGTGGGTTCAAACCACCAGCCTTTCAGCTAGTAGTTGAGTGCTTAACCATTTGTGCCACCCAGGGAACTATGCATGCCAACCTTAACTGGGCACCCCAGTAGGGAGTGGAATTCTCCCATCAGAACTGCTCTCTGTATCTTCTGGGCATGGTAAACTCTTCTCCATCCCCAAAGGTATTTTTAATGAGCCCAAATGTCATGTTTTGCCACACATACTCGGGGTTGATATTCAGCTCCAGAACTAAGCTAATCTAATGGCAGTTTGTTAAGCTAGCCAGCAGTAACAGATTGACTGAGCACTAATTTATTTATTCATTCAATCATTCGCTCACTCAGTATGTATGGATGTAACAGCAAATGCAAAATAGAAATACAGTGTTGTAGAATCAGGTTTGTGAGAATCAGAGATCCAGATTTGAATTATCAACTTGGCTTATTAGTTGGTTGCTCTTAGCAGGTTTTTCACTCTCTGACCTGTAAAATGAAGATAATATTATCAACTTTATAATGTTATTATGAAGACTAGGAATAATAGCTGCAAAGCAGTGGCACAGGGCCTAGAACATAGTAGGTGCTCAGCAAAGGGTAGCTGTTAACATTGGCGTTATCTTCAAACTGTGATTTGCAGAGCACCTGGGCCAGCTGGTTGGACAGGCTTTGAATGAGAAAGCTAGTGATACACATGTCCCAGTAGAGGCAACACTAAAATATAAAATGTTATGGAATATGGGCTAACCCAGATAAGAACTGGACTATTTACAGAATGGCTTGTCTCCCTACAGTAGTCCAGTTGTATAGTTCTAGAAGGAAATATGAATAAATACCTTTAGAATGTGGTTCTTTGTTCACTTACATATCCTTTTAGAAATTGAGCCTTAAGAAATAAGATCGTTATAATTACAAGTAAATGGCTTATGTATATAACAGTAGAAAAATAGAAATAGGGCACTGTCTTAGATAGCTGTTGCTGCTGTAACACAGATACCACAAGTGGGTGGCTTTAAAGAATGGAAATTTATTTTCTCACAGTTCTGGAAGCTAAAAGTCCAAATCAGGGTCACGGCCATGTGGATTCCTTACTAGGTGTGTCTTGATTCCTTGGTGATCCTCACATGGCATCTGTCTCCCC